GTTTTCCAGACTCTTACAGCCGTTACCTGTGCTCCAGTTATACAGATCTTTGTAGTTTCAAGGAAATATACAGGATTTACATTTTTGGCTTGCCATTTTAGACGGAGAGTTTGTACTGTCATACAAGTGTGAGTCGTGGACCATCTCGCAGTCATTAATGGTTACAATAGGGGCGTGTGTGCTTCAGTGGTATATACTGATTCCCCATGGACCAAGAAGAAAAGAAGTACAGACACCCTAAAATATGTGAACATGAAGGAAGATAGGCTAGTACACGGCAGTTTGTCTCGGGAACTGAAATATGTTGGTCATATCAAGCGCCACGTCGAACTCGGAAAAAAATAACAGCGGAAGGCTTGGAAGTAGGAACTAAAGGTAGCAGCGGACCAGCAAGAAGATGAGCACAGGATATAAGTGGCACCTTGGGCAGGAAATTTCACGAGGCGGGAAACCTGATGAGAGACCGCGGTACTTTCAAGCAGATCTGCTTCATGATGTCGATTTCATAGATTAAAGCATTTAGTTAGCAGCTCGGAGGGGACAAAGCTAAACGTTTGCTGGTCCTTTATTTTGTTTTCACCCCATCTCGGGGAATCCAATATTCCCACAGTATAGGGGTGTTACCGTGTGAAATTAACACCGACTCACACCAACCCTGACCCCCTATAATATTGGACTGTTCCGTGAACTCTTGGAGTCCCCGAGATGGGATGTACTAAAAGGATAGTACCCATTTTTATAGCAAAGGCTACCCTGTTTAACCCTAAAGAAAATTATGTTTGGGACTTGTTAGGCAGAAGGCTTTTTTACTTGTACCACTAGAACTTGTGCTTGGCTGCAGATCGGAAGGTCGTGGGTTCAAATCCTGATAGAGCCGGACTGGTTTTTTTTTTCAAAACCCTCAGAACGACTCAGCCTTAAATGGGTACCAGGTACTGTCCTGGGTAGTAAAGGCGGCTGGCGTGATGTTGACCATATCACCAACGGAGTGCCGGTTGGTCTATAAAATACAGGTCTAGCCCTATATGCCCAATACGCCTGAAGGCGTGGAAAAGGGTCCTTAGCTTCTTACAAGGTTTTGCAAATCCCGCTCACTCCCAGCTTGGACAACAATTCACAGCTTATATTGTAAATGCACCAAGGCTATTCGGTAACGCTTGTATCGGACTCTCATCTTAGCGCATCATGAGATAACTGGGCGTGGTTTCCCAGGCAATTAGTTGTGAACATTGACGTTTCACAAACGCGTGCTGAAAGGGGCGGAGTTTAGAATCAGCATACCTTTCCCCCGTGAGACACGTGAACTCTGCTGGCATTGGTTGGCTGTTGACAGCTTGTGGGTGGCATATTGACAAGTTTAGTGTCAATTGAGACAAATTCGGGTATCTAGGGGCGGCGATGTAATTGTAACCTTTCGATTTATGTAACACCAGTTTTAAGCGAAGGTTAAGAGTTTCGTTTTCAGTCGTGGATGTTTCAGATCTAGTCATTGTGTGAACGAGAGAAAGTCTGGATACAAGGTTTCCGTTGCAGTTGTATTCTGAAAGTGAGGATTTTAAAAATTAAGCTTTTTCCGGTGTCTGGGAAAATAAATACGAAAAGGAGATTAGAATTAACATTGCTGACTTTATCTGGTATGTATATTTTATTCTTTTTTAATTACGGCTTTTACTTTTTTTTTCTGTAATACAAAACTCGTGTTTTTCCCCTCCACACGCACATATAATGTTTTTGGTGTTTTTATCTGCGTCTCCTTTCTTATCCACCGCTTTCTTTCTCTTCAGATTCTGTTATTTCTAAATAAATAACTACGACTACTACTGCTACCATTATCACCATCGCTACTACTTCTATAACTATCACAGCCACCATCACCACTGTTACTATTAGTTACTACTGCAACCAAACTAACTACTACTACTACTACTACTACTACTACTACTACTACTACTACTACTACTACTACTACTACTACTACTACTACTACTACTACTACTACTACTACTACTACTACAAAAACATTTGCTACCATTCGTGCTGTATTTCCATCACAACTTGTGAATTCATTCAGTACTTTTCGCCATCAACCCCTTTGCTCAACGTCCTGAATCTGACTGTTGTATATAGTTTTACTTGACTTCGCTGCTAAACCGCGATTGCTAGCAAATGTGCTAACATTCGTGCTGTATTTCACGATTTTGGTGTGAATATCATAACAGTACTTTTCACACACACACCACACTCACACACACACTGACACATGCATATATTTTACTATATTTATATAAACCGCGACACAAATGTGCTATACATTTATATATATATATATATCTATTATAATATATATATATATATATATATATATATATATATATATAAGTAAGTAAGTGTTACACGCATATTTTTATAACCCGATTAGCGCCCAGTGGATGATCGTGTCAACATAACGCCAGGCGCCTTTTCTTCCCCGGACATTATCACATACCCATTTCAAGCTACGTGGATCTTAGAGCCAACATCAGTTTTGAAAACAAATCACCCCGTGTAGATTCTGAGTACCCATAGTAGGAGGGGGTGGAGATTGACCCCCATGCTTGGTGACTAGCATGTCGTAAAAGCCGACTTATTCGTGTGTTTATATCGAAGTCAGAGTGCATCTGCCTGAGGCGAGGAACAGTGCATTTAAAAAAAAAAAAGCCATAATCTTTAAAATCGGTGTGCACGCAAAATAAAATTCTAGAACAAGACTAGAGTCAAACCGCGGACGAACAAACATAATTTTCTGTGTCTGTTTACAGCCGGTGAAGAAGAAGAATATGATGATGATGATGATAATAATAATAACAATGATGACGAGGACGATGAAGTGTTGAATGGCAAATATAATAATATTTTTGAACAAATATGAAATGGATCAACAAATACTCTTTAAGATAATTTCGGCACTCCTCCGAATATTGGCCCCAAATTATGTAGGTCAAAAACCTACCCTTACAGGGCCTCAATAGTTGCTTCTGTTTGAGTTGCATCCATAACCCTTCAAGTGTTTGAGTGTTAGGGTTAGGGTTAGGGTTAACCTTTACCGTAGCATCGCCACGAGACTCCGTGACAACAGTCCAACTGCGAAAGTAAACACATCAGACGTTTACAACAAGAACATTCTACTGTGTTTCGTATTAATCTGTGCGTAGCAAGCCATTGCAACCATTGTAGTTTATAACGTATATATTTATATAAGTCGGCAGGTCTAATATCTACAGCTTTCAGTTTACAAATCGCTAGAACATTATTGCTTATCTGTGTCGGAGCTGATGGTCTGCCTGCCATATTGGCTGGCAATAAATCCACCCTAATTTTACAAATCATTCAGGCCCTGTAAGGGTAGCAATTTGAGCTGGATAATTTGGGACCGTTATTCGGATGAGTGCTCAAATTTATATACATTGTTACATGGGCCATCTCAGCATCCTTAGGAAATTATTGGAAAGGAAAATAAAGGAGGGGGGAGGGAAGGAGGGGTTCAGCTGGAGGTTTGAATCCCCGCAAGCTTAAGTGGGTTTTCTGACGGGGGCGAAAGTAAAATCCTAACCGGCACAGCCTAGATCAACAGCATAAGCGTTGTGTACCTTAATCCTCAGGCTCAAAGACCACCACCCACTTATATATATATATATACATCCTATGCAACATCCACCCCGGTTACACTGGAAAAGTGGTATTGATGAATACAGGATGTAATTGGCCGGGTTTTTATTTAGGGCAAAAAAAAAAAAGGGGGGGGGGGGTTGGCACTATGCGGACATTAGGTGAGGCTCCTATGTTTCTGTCCATAAGTCCATCTATTGATGTGTGCGTTTGCGTGTCTGGCTGTCTATCTCTCTTCCGACTACTCTATCTATCTGCCTGGCTATATTTCTTTCCGCAATCTACCTACTAATTTGTCTGTTTCTTGATAAAAATCTGTCTATGTAGTTGAGAATATGTTTCAATGCTAGTCCAGCTCTAGGTCTGTATGTATATTTAACAATTTTATGTCCCTTCTTGCCGGTCGTCTCTGTGGCTAAGTCGATGCGAACGCTTTGTAATGCCGGGATGCCGGGTTCGGTCCCAGCTGCGTTGGTTTCGACAGAAGCAATGCCAAACTACTGGACGTAAATTTGCCTTGAAAAACCACACAACAGCCAGGGGCTGTTAGGGTTGGTTCTGCAACGTCCTGTAAAGGATACGTTTTTAAAGGGGTAGAACATTATGGGGAAGAGAAAAAGTTGGTAAGAAAGAACAAATAATTTATGTTAGCTTTACAAAATCGATCACAATAAACAAAGAAAGGACGTTGCGGCGATTAGCCCTCATAAGCACATAAAAAATAACACAGAACACATACACAAATATGCTCTAACTATGAAGTGACTACACAGGACTCTAATGTACAAAATAAATGATACTCCTTTTTGCCTAGCAAATCAGCCAGTCAGCCTGTCCTGTACAGAACGTCGCTCTCTTCACTACAGGCTTAACAGTCTCGCTTTCTTTAGCCAGTTCTTCAGCACTGTGCGCTTTTATAAACAATGCGTCTTCATCGTGTTGTATCCACGTTTGTGGGGTCTGCCTCTGCCTCGTTTTCCGGAAACTGCGAACTCCATTGCCGTTCCCTTGAGACCACCACGGCGCTTGACTTGTCTACAGTACCTCAGCTTTCTGGTGGAGAATGCTGTTTATGATGCCTTCTTCTTGGTCCTCGGTTACTAAGATTTTTTTTCTAAAGCATTTCATTCAAAAGCTCGGATTTTCATCTTCAAAGACTGACTGAGAGTACATAACTTTCAATTGTCTATCTAGGTGTCGGTAAATTCAGCTATATATTAACTGCTTTATTGTTCTTTTAGTTTATTTAAGATTCCGTATATTCACTTGTGTATGTTTCTATAAACAATATCAAAAGTTATAGTTATAACATATTTCTGCCATCTTGTTTTTCCAGGGACTTCAGACTCAAGGCGATGCGCTATGAAACAATGAACCCATCTCCAACATATCCCTTGGTACCAGGTCTACTTCCAGGACACATCTCCTCCCACGCCATAAACTCCTACCCGAACCATGGACACAAACAGCCATTTCTGCTAACCAACGTTACTCCGCCACGTTTTCGCTTCACCGGCGCCATTTGTGAAAATTCAGGGGCAGTCACTCTTAACCCATATATTTCACACCCAGAGTTACGTACATTTCAAGGGTATGACGTCAAAACAAATTTTCTCAGGGGCTATTCTAATTTATATCCACAAGATGTGCTGAATATTCCACGTGGCGACATGGGACGGGAGAATATGTCCATTGCTGAATGTGACATAATGTTATCCTTGCATAGACAACGATATCAGGCAAGAACAGTGAAGGAAGAGACAACACGTTTCTCTGATTATGCTAACAAAATGGATAATAAACACGTGGCTGTATATAACTCGTCAACGCGTAGTTGTAGTACTAATGAGGATGTTGCTAGTTCACATGATGCGCCAAGCAGCCCTGAGAAAGATCATTCGCTACCGTCAGTTACTCCAGAGATGTCTTCTAACAGAACATATGATACAGACAATAAAGAGAAGAAGATTAAAACAGAAATGTTCGGTTTTGAAGTTAGCGACGGGAATAAAGATAAAGGGGAATATAGAGAAAATGCAGAAATTCGCCAAGAAATGGATGACACTGACAATTGTTGTTCACATTCCAATGGCAGCATGTCAGTCTCAAATACCAACAGCACAGTGTGCGATGACAGTTGTGATAACCGCGGCGACGACGAGTTTCTTCGTGTCGACTCGCCTTCCTCATCGTACAACGGCGATGAACCCAACTCGACATTGTCACCTCATTCTTCGTACAGCGATGACGATCACCCATTTGGAGACAACGATATTATGACCAGCTGTGGCGATGATGATATCAGTGATGAAAATTGTGATAAAATTGTCGATGTGTCATCGAAACACTACGATATCCACGAAGACGATAACTTTTCGGATAAGGCGTCCGAGAATACAAACAGTTCCTCTTCTGGAAAATCTTCGGATAAGAGAAAGTCTAGTCAGGTCAAACCGCCATATTCTTACATTGCCCTGATCACAATGTCGATCCTGCAGTCGCCAAGAAAGCGCTTGACTTTGTCCGGAATCTGCGAGTTCATCATGAATCGCTTCCCATATTTCCGCGAGAAATTCCCCGCCTGGCAAAACAGCATCCGCCATAATTTGTCCCTCAATGACTGCTTCGTGAAAATTCCCCGTGAACCTGGAAACCCCGGCAAGGGGAATTACTGGACACTAGATCCGGCTAGCGAGGATATGTTCGACAATGGAAGCTTCCTTAGAAGAAGAAAGCGCTACAAAAGATCATCCAACTTCGAGATGATGGGTCAGATTCCAGGAGTTATGTCCGCTGCCGATTCATATTTACAGCGTCATGGATACTTAGAACGTCATGCAAGTCAGTACGGGGCTTTTCATGCGGTACCTGGATCTCTTGGCTACCCTTACGTATCACCTGCTATGTCCCAACCGTTAGTCATGATGCAAAGGGATTATTATACACGACATAATTCTCACCATCTTCCTGATCCCCAAAACTTTAACTTTCCTCTGGGACCAGCCAGCGTTCATGAGTTACCCTCGAATTTCCTCGGCGCTCTCAGTTTACATAAACATTCCGAAAGACATCTTCAGCTGGAGAAAAGGGACGCAACGGATATTAGTGCGATTTCCCAGAGGAAAGTGATAACATCTACGCCATCACCACCTCAACATCCATTAACTACACAGTCATCTTTACCATCATCAGCATCATCGCCATCAACCAAACCATCTGTGTCCCAACAGTCTAAAAATAAGAAAGACTTTACAATAGATAACATTATCGGTACAGCGTCGTCGTCACCATCCTCGGCGTCAACTTCCTCTCCTGCAGCGATTACCCCTGAATCTAGTTCATATAGTACACCATCATCTTTACTGACCTCATCCCTGCCAACATCCTCCTCACCATTCGTCAGATCACTTCTACCACACTTCTATTCTGGTCTGCCTCATCTGAATGCAGGGCAATTCTCAGTACCTTCACAGCAGGCCTTACCCCCCATCCCTTGGCAAATGTCGCTGCCTCAACGAGGCGGCACAGACAGCAGTTCTTGTATCCCTCCCTTCACATCTTCCTGGCCTGGTCTAACATCACATCATTTGGAGCAGTACAGACAATACATGCAAGCATATTCTATTTCCGGCTGGCCTAGGTGAAGTTGCCCCTTTTCCCCGGGTCTTTTAAGTTCAAATTACCATTGCACTCCGAATATCTCCTTAGGTGCTCCACGGCCTCCCTCCCTCCCCCCCCCCCTTCCACCATCACCCCTAGCGGAAGAAACTCATTTATGGCAGCTACTTTTTCACCGGCTGAAAATTCCGGCGGAAGGTTCTGGTTGTTCGTCCACTTCTTGATTCTAGTCCTGTTACAGAAACTGAGTGTTGCGTGTACATCCGTTTCACAGGTCTGACTCATTTGCATGCAGATTGTTGATTCCTTAACCTCTCAGGCAGATGTACTCCGACATCGAAGGAAGCCCCTAATTAGTCTTGTTTTCCACAGAACGGGCTTCGGAACCCACACGGATATGGCAGCTATTAACTGTGCGAGTCCAAAGTTTACGTATCGGTTCAGAATTATGAAGTTAAAGTTTGAATTTGGTATGCTTGTATAAAAGATGTGGGCACAAGACGGTTAGCCTGATCACAGTGACACTATGGGTTGTCTCATCTGAGCCCCAGATTCGAACCAAGACCTTATAGTTTTAATGTTGCAACATTCTCACTGGAATTATTTATCACTGTCAAATATATACAATGTTTGAATAACAATTGCAATAAATTAGATATTATTTACATTATCCTTGCGTTGAGATGTTCGGTATTATGCAGCATTGTTCACAATTATTTCAAGAACACTACAGATATTGGTGCTTTATTAATATCATACCCAAAACAGGGAAAATCCACAGGTCACTGGACAGTCCAATATTTCAAGGGGTGGTAGATAGGCTGCATGCAGTCGTGTGACCTAGGCTGCACTCTCTCGTGGGACGTAGGTGGGTTGGGGTTAGGGCCATTTCTAGATGTTTTGGTGTCGTTAAAAGCATCAGAAAGCCGGAAAACCGAGTCTTAACACCCTCTAAAATGTGTGACTGTCCTGTGGCGTCATCTGGGTTAGGATATTAATAAAGAACCCAGAAATGTTGTGTCTAGTTTCGGTGTATGAGTTTTTTTTTTTTTTTTTTTTTATATACAAAAACTCATTTCTTCTCATTATGTGTCCAATATAACGCCACCTTGTTTGTCTCATCACGGATGTTATGAGTGGTAAGCCAGACATTTGTTGCACCTCTTTTGTATCCACCTCACTTTATATTCAGATAAGTAAAGTAAAGGACCTTGTCAACGCCTTCATGCGTAGTGGGCGTATAGGGCTTGACCTTTTTTTTTATAGACTTATCGGCACTCAGGGGGCGATCACGCTGGCCGCTTTTACTTCCCAGGACCGCACCTAGTACCGGACTCAAGGCTGGCTCAGCCTGGGAGCCAAGGTCATTTTTGAAAATAAGTCTGGCTCTATCGGAACCCGAACCCACGACCTTCTGATCCCCAGGCGAGCGTCTAGTAGCTAGACCATGGCGGCTCCCGGATTACGTATTAACGATAGTAAGAAGGATCCTTGCCAGACCCATAACCGTAGTGGGTCTAGTTGCCAGACCCATAACCGTAGTGGGTCTACATTGCCAGACCCATATTTTATAGATCAATCGACACTCGGTGGGTGATGTGGACGATATCCCACAGGGCGACTTTACCTCCCAGGACTTTACCTGACCCCCATTAGAGGGCTTGGTCAACCTGGCAGCCAAAGTAATTTGTAACTGGGACAAATTTGACTCGATGCAGATCTGAACTCTAGGGCTTGCAGACGAGCCGCTAGCCACTACACTACATCTGAATATAACTGCTATAAGGATAAAGACTGTTTCTTTACCGCTTTTGGATAGTTATCCACATAGTGCCTCTTTGAGTCACTTTGTATTAATAATCCAGAATGCAATACTGGAAAGAATAATTTTTTTTTTTGAACGTTAAAACTTCTTCTTTTGTTCGCTTGAAATAAATTATCTTTATCTGCAATGATGTCTCTAGTATAAACTTTGCTGTCGTTTGTAATTCACTTAGTGGCCCGTAAAGTTTGGCTTCCACCAGTGTCTGTCTTGGAGACATAAATTTATTTCCTGGAAATGTTGTTTTTGAAACAGTTTTGCAGGATGTGGTGTCTCAGGTGCCAGTCCAGATGTGCACATGGCTGATTGGCCAATACTTGTAAACCTCAAGGGGACAGTTTGGGGGAAAGAGAAGCGGGCGATCGAGGAACTAAAGCAACATTAAAAATCGTAGAAGTAAAGTGAAGGACGCTTTCCATGCCTTTAGGCATACAGGGCTAGACCTATATTTTATAGACCAATCGGCACAAGATGGGTGATGTGGTCAGCATCCCGCCGGCCGTCTTTACTTCCCTGGACTGCTGGGTCCCGAGAGTCAAGGTATTTTTTGAAAATATCCACTCATGCAACGGCGACTGGAAGTCTTCTGACCTTCACCAGCTGTAGGCGTAAAGTCAAGGACTATTTTTGTTGAAACAGATGTGATTCAATTGCCGCTACGCCTCTCCGGCACGCACTCCGACGACTCCCATGCTTTTGGGGAGGCAGTGGGTCTAATAGCCCCGAACCCACACGGGGGTATGTAGTAGTGAATCCACTGCACTAAAGATTGACATTAGAAAGGATCGACCTTATGACACCTGGTTTTATCCCAACTGGCTCAATCTCTCTCTGCAGAACAGCTAACCACTTGACGATAATGTTGTACAAAGATGAACTCCGTAGCCCCAGCTACAATCCTTAGCGTTATTCACAGAAACTGCAATCGTAAACAGAACCACACAGTCGGTGAAACGATACCATGACCTAGCTAATTCAGCTCCAACATTTGGCTTTGCAAAACGCCACACAAACTGTTGTGAGACCAAAACTGAGAAACATTTATTTGATGAAGTCCGTATGCCTTCCGGAAACATTCGTGGTGGCATATGCTGTTTTTATATTAGAGTTTGTCGCCTAGCGCTGCCCGACGTTGTAAAGTAAACACCACTTGCCGTTGTGTGTATTAGTTCGCATCCAGAATTTCGATAGTTTATTGAAGCATCTTCGGCTTAAGCAAACGGCAGCGGGTACGAAGGGGGATGCCTTCTTTCATTCTCTGTGTCCTCCTTTTAGGGCGTTTCCTTTTCTTTTGAAATGTGTTACGGTTAGGGTTAATTGATTAAACAAACGTAGCTGGTTGTGATCTTGCTGAGATATGATGAAGTCACACTAGTGGCGTTCCGGAACGAATGCATTCATTAGCTGTATGATGTAGGCTTTTCTTGCTGAGGATGGAGGGAAGTCATTTGTGACTGCGCTAGGAAATTAGGTACAAATAAAGTGGTTAGACAGACAAACATTCATCTGGGCTTGCAATGAGTGCAATCAATTCCGTAGCGACCACATATGATTGTACGAAGTTCTTCGTCGTCTTTTTTTTCTCGTTCTTTCTCTCTTTTTCTGAGCTTATGGAAAGAGCGAAGCGAGGAAAAGATGCCGTGGCTGGATAGGACACACATTAAGATTAGTAGTAGTAGCAGCAGTAATAGTAATAGTTGCAGCAGCAGTAGTAGTAGCAGCAGTAATAGTAATAGTTGCAGCAGCAGTAGTAGTAGCAGCAGTAATAGTAATAGTTGCAGCAGCAGTAGTAGCAGCAGTAATAGTAATAGTTGCAGCAGCAGTAGTAGTAGCAGCAGTAATAGTAATAGTTGCAGCAGCAGTAGTAGTAGCAACAGCAGCAGTAGTAGCGTAGAGTAGTAGTAGTAGAGTAGTAATAGCTGCGGTAGCAGCAGTAGTAGCAACAGCAGTATAATTAGGGACAACAGTAGTAGTAGGGGGAGCAGCAATATAAGTAATAGTAGTAGTAAGAATAACAATAGAATTAGCAGTAAAAGGAACAGTAACATTAGTTATAATTATGTAGTAGTGGTGGTGGTGGTAGCAGCAGCAGTAGTAGTAGTAGTAGTAGTAGTAGTAGTAGTAGTAGTAGCAGTCGTCGTAGGAGTAGTAGTGGATAAAAAAAAAAGAGGAGGAAAAGGCGCAGATAAAGGAATAGATGGTGAGCCCTATGTGAATAAACAGGAATGGCACAAGCGGATGATAAACGCTTTTTAAACTGTATGCAATGCATTCAATGTTACTTGAAGAAGGCCATTTTTTTTCTCCGACTTTTTCATATGATACACACAGCTAATCACGTTAAAATGAAGCCGGAGTGCCACGAAGATAACAAAACTAATAATTCATAACTGGTAAGATGTAATTCAACACACACACACACGGGGGGGGGGGGGGGGGGGGGTTAAAATATAACATGTTCCCAGAAGACACACGTTCAGAAAATAACTATTCCCAGCAATGTAAACGTTATCAAATTCATTGGGAATAATTGAGTAAATTTCACACATACGCTCACACGCACGCCCGCCCGCCCGCCCGCGCACACACACAACACACCCAGACAGCTGAAAAGTAGCGGGAAAATCCGAACCCACACAAAGTGCGTAATTGTATGAAAGAGGAGTCTGTTTGCCTGCACCGGACAGCACTGTTCCCAGTGAAAGGAAGCTCTTGGGCTGATCCGAGGCCTGTGGCGAGGACTAATTTAGCCGCGCTCGGCTCCGAGTTTAAAACGAGTTGCCTGTTAAACGCATTTCGATTATAGAGCAGTGTAAACATTAAAGAAAAAGACAACACTAATGAAAACATGAGGCCTAGAGCCAGGCTTAATGAATGGCTTTCTTGTGGCTGAGATTCTTTCTTGGAGTAAAGTCCTCCGGAGGCCGGTCGAAAGATGGCACTAACAAGGGCGCCACA